ATTCTGTTTCTATCAATATAATAAAGTATTTATTATATATAGTCTATAAGGTATATTATGTGCTACTTTATATGTTATAGTTACATTTTTGTCATAGTAAGCATTCTAGTGCATGCGATTCATTTCTCATAAAGCAAATATTTTTGAGCCTGCTCTGAGCCAGGGACTATGCTAGGAGCTCCATATTATATCATCTGTGCCTTCAAGGAGCTTGCAACTAAATTTAGGGGGGGGGGTGGAGAAAGAGATGTAAAAAAAAAATACATCCACATGTCATTATAGAGGCAAGCACCAGGGTGATACAGAAGGGCCTGGAAGGGCTAAATACAGTCTAAAGGAAGTGATATCTCAGTAGATGTGACTCGGGACTGAGTCAGCGTTAGCCTGGTATATGGGGGTACCGTGTTTCTGACCTGAGAACCAATGTGAGGTTAATTACCAGTTCCAAACAGAATTGTGGTGCCACTCACAGGTTAGGGAGTAGAGATTTGGACAGAAAGTGATAACACATGGAAGCAGAGTGTGCTTCTGGATATTTTGTGTATGTTTAAATTACCTATGGGACGTGTAGGGGCATAAGTTTAGTGAAAGATAATAGTTAAGAATTCCAGACCGGGCTCGGTGGCTCAGCCTGTAATCCCAGCACTTTGAGAGGCAGAGGTGAGTAGATTGCCTGAGCCCGCGGGTTCAAGACCAGCCTGCGCAACATGGCGAGACCTTGTCTCTGAGGTAAATCAAAAATTAGCAGGGCGTGGTAGCACGCGCCTGTAGTTCCGGCTACTTGGAAGGCTGAGGCGGAAGGATCACTGGAGCCTAGCAGGTCGACCCTGGGGTGACCGTGAACATGCCACTGCACTCCAGCCTGGGCGACAGAGTGAGACCCCAAACTCAAAAAAAAAAAAAAAAAAAAAAAAAAGGAAAAAGAATTCCGGAGTGTTGTCGTATCAGTCATACATTCAACTTTTAACCTTTTTTTTTAAAGGTTCAGAAACTCATTCTGTATCTGTGTATATTTTTGGCTATACCTGACTTTATTCTTCAAATTATATGAAGCAGCCTAAGTGCCTTAACACAGAAGTACGGTATTGGATTAGGCTACAGAAATTTAGGTAATAGAAATTATCTGAATTATCTGAACTTTTCTAGTTCTCAAAGTAAAAAAAAAAAAAAAGACTTGACTAATACAAAAATTTCCTTCATAGTAGTGAGTACTGTTTTGAACAGTTAATGCAACAACAGATTTCATTGTGTCTCTTCAACGGTCTTAGTGTAAACTGAGAGTTATATTAAATAAAGGAAAATTTAATCTGCAGGATTCAAAGTCATGTGACCAAGTATTAAACCTGCTGATGGCCTGTATGATATTCAAAAAGGTCTCTATAATGCAATTTATTACAACATAGGTCTTTTTAGTAGAAGCTGGGAGTAAATAGGAACAGGTAGCATCTAGTGATGGTTTAGAAGTGTGTAGCTATTTTTTAGTGCTGTCACTAAGCAAATCCGTGTTTTATAAGAGAACAATGATAAATGCATGATGTGGATTTTATCTGTAGATTCTGCTTTAGAAGGGTTTAGAATTGCAAGTCAGCTATTAATTCAATAATATTTTGCTCTGTATCATGATTTTAATTTTAAACAGAAAGTCTCTATTACTATATAGATTTATGTTTCTAATTTTCAAATGAGCCAAGGGGAGCTGTTTTCTCCTTTAAAACAAGTCTTTGTAAAATTCTGAGCCAAAAAAGTTTAACTATGTTTTGGCTATGAATTGGGAAGATGCAGCATCATAGCATTCTGCCCTTCATTCAATGAATTGGAAAGAAATTACAGGTGCCAACCACTGGGTTTTGAACTAAAAGTAGTACTTATGGCTGTTGTACTTTGCTCACTGTTAGTCCTGAAAATGGTAACATTTCCAAGTTCCAAGGGAGCATTTTGAAGCTAAAACTGTTAGCTTGTTAAGTGCTGAGTCCTTCACTGAAGTTTATATTTATATGCAGAGATTGAAGTTGTACTTTAAACAAGGAAGGAAAAAATAAGACTAATTTTGTTCTTTATGGCCAAGTCAATACAAGCATGCATTGGAATGATTTTTAATATCACTTCTTGTGGAGTTCACAGTGTTAGAATGAAACAAAAAATGCCAATATACAATATTCAGGGCTGATATTTGGCTGACACATGCTGCTACAGCCGTTCTGGTTATGTATAGCCACTATCTGGTCGGCTTTCTCAGAGTATTTGTTCTGCTTAGTTAGTTTGTATACTCTAGAGTTTGTTAAACATTTTTTACCTGTGCATGTATGTGCAACTGAAGGATATTCAAGTGGGGAGAAGGAAAGCGTTGGTTAAAATTAGCTCATAGTTTTTTTCTGTAGAATCAGAAGACATTTGCAACAGGAGACATTTACATTTTAAGTTTCTTTGTCTACATGTCTAAATCCTACAACATAATTCCTAATCACACTTAAATGTCCCACCTCCATAAAACCTTCCTTGAGTCTTCCCAACACAATGTTTATGTCTTCTTCTTTCAAAGACATAGTATATTATGTTACCTTTATATCTTATCTTGTACACCGGTAATCATAGTCTAGCTTATAATAGTTACGATTGTCACTCCACTAAGAGAATATATGTTTCTCTGTGTGGTTAGGATATGCATTAGTTCATTTATTTACAACAACAATTCAGTATGACTTTGGTGTCATTATCTCTCTTTTGTTAAGCTAGAAGCTGAAGAAGGGAGATGTTAAGGAACTTTCTTAAGGTCAAGATTCTTTATTTGTGCAATCTGATATCATTTTAAATGATACTTAGATTTGATTGCAATAATATAAATGCTATATGTTATATATATTATGAATTAAAGACTTTTTTGGTTTTGTTTTTGAAAATTGACCTACTGATATGAACCCCAACAGGAATATTTTAGGAAAAAAGTACCTCAAAGTTTCAAACAGCTTCCTCAGACAGAAAATTATATGGCATGGTGTTTAAAAGCAGAGGTTTAGAAGTCAGACACATGTAAGTTTGTGTGCCTTTTCAGCCACTTGGTAGGCAGGAGAACTGGTCAAGGCACAATACTTTTTTAGGCTTCACTTTGTGCTTATATCCTGGATTAATAATGGAATTTACTTTCTGTGTAGTAGTGAGGGTTGTCAGAAATGACACCCTTGGCTTAACACTCAGCCTGACACATTTTAGTACTTAAAAGATGTTAGCTATCATTTTCTTATCTGTTCTTTATTTGAGGATTTTCCTTCGTGTGTAACATGGAAACCGCACGTATCATTATTGACAAAGATAAGTTTTATAGCTTTTATTAAGTTACATATAGTAATCCTTCCTCCTTCCTTTCATATTCAAGCTAGATCTGAAAGAATATCTTGCCAGCAGGGGAAGGAAGAGAGAAAAACATCCATACCAATGAAGGATGGATAGTCCAGGCTGGTTTTTAGATCCTTCTGGGTTTTCAGATCTCCTTTTTTACTTTACTGGAGCATTTTGAGAATTCTTAATTAAAATAGCATTCTTAATTAAAATAACTGACACTCAAAATTCTATTCAAGGCAATTTACCTCTAAATTTGTAGAATAGTATAAAGTATCTAAATCTGTATAGTATCCCCTAAATGTGTAGTTTCTTTAAACAACTCACTATTTTAGATAATCCACTGCTGTCTGTCTCAATTTTCTTTGTATTTGGGAAACTAATGATGTATTTATACTAGTATGGAAATGCAGATAAATACTAGTTTTATTTTTGGGCTTCAGCAATTCAGTTATGTATTATGTGGCTGCCTTGTGGAAGGTTTCATGCTAAGGGCTGAGGTTACAAAGATGAGCAAGACAGAAGCAGCACCAGCCTTCATTGACTGAGAAAGGAAGATGTCAATCAAATGACCACATGACTAAGAAATAAAATGCTATGATGGAAACAACTTAGGTCTCTATCAAAGGTCATGAATGGGGAAAGAACATACGTTAGGTAGAGTGGTTAGGAAAGGTTTTCCTGAGGAAATGGCATTTCAATCGAGACCAAAATATGAGATGCTCAAGTGAAAAATAGGATGGGGAGAAGGCATTCCAGACAGGATCATTCTGAACCAGGAAACTACCATGGCCAAAAACAGCACCAAAACAAGAAGCATTTTGAAAACTGAAGGTATTTTAGTAGAACTAGTGTGTAATGAGCAAGGGAAAAAAAGTCATGGTAAAAAATGTTGTTTTTATTCTGACTTCCATAAGATAGTACTTAAGAGATTTAAGTGTAGGAGTTAAGTGATCCAATTTCTGTCTTTAAAAGATCCCTGTGACTACAGTATGTCTAATGACTGCACAAGCTCAAACCAGGCTGGAAGAGCACAAAGTTCAAGCAGGGATGACATGAGTGACAAATGAGTGTTTGTGATGATTGAAGTGGAGATTATTAAGTGAAACAGGGATGAGCTAGGCAAAATTCCAAGAGTTTGTAGTTCATTCTTCTATGTTTTTAGTATTTGTTACTTTGACATATGCATGCGATTATAATTTCCCACCATCTGAATAAGGCATTGCTGTATAATTTTGACAAAAGGGTGAGGGAATCCTGTTAGCAAGTTAAAATATGAGATCATTCATTGTAGGTGATTTGTTGTCTTTTAAAAAATATTTCTACATTTCACTTATTCACTTATTCATTTAACAAATGTTTGAGTGACTCGTAAGAGTAAAAATGAGTTCTATTGTTTATTAAAGTTGTATTTTTCTTTTTATTTTTTACATAAATAACAAAAAGTGTTTCTCCAGGAAGGTGGTACCACTGATTTTGTTCTGGGAGTTTCCTTATCATATGGTTTTGGAATTTAATGAACACCTTGATTTATTTACCCAAATTTCTTTTTGCTAATGAGTAATGATGTACTTTAAGATACTTTGCTTCAGAATTTGAGCAGGAGTTTGGAAAATTTTAAGTAGCAGGCTCAATCCTCACTTTTAATTTTTTGTGTTTTTCAATAGAAAAAAGAGAAAGCCTCTGTCATGATACAGAACAATGCTTACGCAGTAGCTGTTGCCAACTATGCCCCGAATCTTTCAAAAGATCCAGTCCTCTCCACCATCTCCAAGAGCGCAACCACGCCAGAACCCAACAAGAAACCGGAAAACAAGCCAGCCGAAGCCAAGAAAACCTTCAACAGTGTTAGCAGAATTGACAGAATGTCTAGAATAGTTTTCCCAGTTTTGTTTGGTACCTTTAATTTAGTTTATTGGGCTACATATTTGAACAGGGAACCTGTATTAGGGGTCAGTCCTTGAACTTAGACATAGGTTATCTTTGGGATGTATAGCAACATTATATTTGGTTTGTTTTGCTATGTACAGTCAGACTAATAACTGCTAATTTGTGAACCATGTACAGTATGTATATAATGATAATAGCTTACCAGTAGAACTTTAATGGAGACACGCATTTGCTGAATCATGGAACTGCTGGCAGAAAGCACTCCATGCCAAAAGAGCCATTGTCTTTTTTAAAGATTTACCCTAGGACCCGGTTTAAAGTGAATTTCAGATGACCTGATTTATTTCCTATTCTTCTAATAGCAGTGAAAATGGGACTCCTCAACAACCCTTTGTGGATCCTTTTGGTTTAGTTCTTAAATAGATGTAACTTTTACTGTTGCTTAATTATGATGGAAGATAATGCTGTCACTCATAGATGAAGTCTTCTAATTAACAGAACCTCGTGTCTGCCGTTTAAATTCCCTTCATGAGTGCTCAGAATCCCTGCTAGTATAATTGGAGGCTTAGCACACCTAAGAAGAAAAACTAGAGATTTGAAATCAGCTCTTAATTACTCTGTATAGTATCTATAACCATGTACATATTACAGCATGACAAACTCAAATAATTATGAGTCACCCCGACAGGATGTTAATGATGCCTACAATTTAATAACTATTGGAATGTCATGGTCATTATATTTTTAGCTTCAGAGTTTATTTGAAAGTAATAATTGAAATCCTACAATTTATTTCAATCATTGGAAACTACTTTAAGTTAAAAAAAAAAAGACAATAAATGTGTCTTACTTTTCCAGGTATGTGTTGCATTGAAATTGATCAGCTAAATTTTCTTGGTGCTGGAGACTGGAGAAAGCATCCAGTGTGGTTGCTGTGAAGCAACATTCATATCGGATTAGAAAATTGTGCCAAAAACTCCCACTGATGAGAACTCATAGGTGTCCCAGTCTATAGATGCACACTTATATGATTCTCTTCTTTCCTGTTTACTGCAAATTCTGCCTTAAGGCTTCTTTTCATCAGGACTCAGAAGCCACGAATTATAAAGGAAAGGGCAGTGTATTGGCACATTTTTCTGTCTTGAAAGCAGCTCTTTCAGATAAGAATTCATGTAAATCTGCTTTTGTAAATTGCAACTTTAAATTTCGCTGACTCAAATTTACAACTTTGTATACCAGAAGAGGTTTTGGTAAGGGTTGAACATTTTTAAACTGCAACTTTAAAACATCACCGACAGATTGTGGATTATTTCACATGCACAAACATAAACACACACACACACACACACACACACACACACACACACACACACATACACACATACACATACACACATATACATACACCCATACACATAGCTAAATTAGAAACCACAATTTTTAATTTTATATAATTACTAATTATTAATGAGTAAAATTCATTTTTCTTTTAATATTTACAAAATATTCTTATGTCCCTAAAATATGCTAATAAAATTTAACAATTGTGTATCATGCCTAGATTCAAAGTTTTTGGCATACCTAAAATACTTTTGATTGACATGTACATTAGCAGTTATTAGTTGGCTTTTACCAATACTCGCACCCTTGCGATGGTTTTTTTGTAGAAACATAAGTAGTAAATAGTGGCATTTCTTGCAGTTTTGTACAGTATTTGAGTATAGTGCATAAATAGGTATGTTCATAAAATCAATAAAATGAGTACCTTATGGAAATAAGCAAAATATCCAAAAATTGCTATTCCTTTGCCTCATTTTTTTCATTTTCTTTGTTTCAGTGTTACTCTATTATGTGCTTTGCATGATTGTATAAACCAAGGTCACAAATGCATTCTATTAACAGAATTTGCCGTGAAGACAGTCTTGACATTAAAAATTCCCTCCCAAAAGGTAAACCATAATCCTTAATAAAATAAAATTGTCACATGAGCTAATAAATGTATTTCTTGAATTCCCTTCCAATACCACCTTCTCTGTCCTCAAAATAGTCTGAAAATGTGCACTTTATTCATACATTGAGATAGAAGATAAACTATTTTCTTATACATTTAAACATAGCATAGCTCTTCTGTGTAGTTTAGGGATGTATGCAGTGTTATGAAAAAATATGCAATGCTTGAAGGCAAGCAATAAAAATGCTTTGTATGGTACGCTTAGTAGACACTTTAAGAATTTCTTTTGGCAAGAATGCATTGCCCTTTAACATCTGAATATAAGTTTATAAATATGTACATATGTAAAAGTAGTTGTAAATAACATTTTCTGTATGGCAACAGAAAAGACTCACCTATACCTTGAGCAAAGGGCTGTGGCTATATGGATGGTACCAATTTTATTAGCGCTTAACGTCAGATCGACCAGAAAATGTGTTATCCTTATTGTTATTTTTCATTTCATTTGTTAAAATCTTATATGAGCCTAATGGCATTCTGATAGTTTAGATTTTTCAATAGCATTGATCAGAATTTTCTGTTATTTCTCCAAACTTTTGAAGACTTTTTACATACTTTTTTTTTTAAGTTTAAATAAAAAGGAATTTCTGCCCTTGTAGAGAAAGTGAGGATGCTCCGTGGAAGTGGATTTTAAATTACAGAACCAGAGTTTTACTATTATTTTCCCTTCCAAACCAGTTTAAAATCAAAATGAAAAAGACATGAATTTATTATAATAAGGCCATTTTTTTCCGGAAATACATTTTTATATGCTAACGTTGGTCTCTTTGGCCCATAAAATTACACCTATTTTATGTGTTTGTACAGTGACATAAAGAGTCATGGTATGTACAAAATGTAGATAAATACATGTACATTTACAGTGATATAATCTCATTATTGTATAGATACTCCTCTGATTCAACTAATGTTTATTCAAAAAAAATTTTTTTTACCTCCAACTGTGTGCCATGCCCTGAAGTTGGTGTTATAATATCACTCATATCACACTCACTGAATTTAGTTGAAAATTAAAGTGCGTTACATTCTTATAATGATTTTAAATTAAAGATTATATGAAACATGTAAATTAATTTAGTACTGAGAGTTGTTCACTGTGCAATGATATAGTATGTGGAGGTGGTGGCTGTTTTAGTGTTTTCTGCTATTAATGTCGCTATTTGATGACAAAAATGGAATACATATAACCATTTAATAATTTTTTAAAAACTTAAGTGATTTTTAAGTACTAATCATAATGTTTCAAAATCTTTTCAGGGATATCACTATTTAGAATTTTTCTCAGGTTTGGATAATTGATCCCCTTGAGCCATGCTTCTCGATTTTTTTTTTTCTGAAATAGTTCATAGTTTATTTTAAAAATAACAAAGACGCTATTAGTTCACTCTTATTTTTTGGCAAATATATATTGTTCATTATATTTGGTATATATACACATATGTACACATATTATTTATTGAGATCAAATATATATATTTGCATTTATGTGGCTCTTCTTGTATCCCTGGTTGAGGTAACTGAACTCTGCCAGGACAGAATCGTGAATTCTAGACTTTTGGCATGGTCTGCCATCATTTCAATGAGAGGAAATATGAAGTCACTCAAGTCATCTCCTGCACTGACATGGTTCTTCAGTATCTGTTAAGAATTAGCTTCATGTGTTCCATGCTTGACGTCTTCAGGCACATGTCTGTGAAACATCGACATGTTTTTTACTTCATTTGAAATCTGGGGCCATATCCATAGGTATACAAAGCAGCTTCTTCCTGTGAACCTCCTGGGCACTCCTATATTCAGCTCTATATTTTTCAGGCAATTGCCACATTTTTTCTCATATGGAAAGACTCAGAATTTCACAGGAATCATAAGCTGGCCCATTACTGCCCTGTAGTGCCATTCATTTTGCTTTAAATTGAAGTCCCATAGGCACCTTGTACTTCTTTTTTATTAATCCAAAGTATACAGAGGCATAACATTGAAACTGGGGGGAAATGCAGTTATTTTTGACATCTGCATGCTTGGGAAATATGGACAGTGCATCAGGACCACTGTAATAGTGTAGACAAGACAAATTATATTTTTCTCTATTGAATTCATGCTTTAAAAATGAGTCAGTATTTAATAAAATTATTTAATATCAATAACCCTTTGCTGTAAAAGTTTATATTAAAGATATTAATATTTTCCATCCGTATTTAAGAGCTCATTTTTTTTTTCAAATTCGAAAAGAAAAAAAATGGGGAATGAAATATCAAAGAACCCACTGGAAAAGGTAGGCTATTGTTAATTAAACCAATTGAAGCTTTTTTTTTTTTAACTCCTAAGAAAGTGAACAAATTATAAATACCTATGTATATACACAAATATTTTAAGAGTCATGATTCTACTATGGAAAGCATCATAACTAAAATACTAAAACAAAGTCCATGTGAAAATTTTTTGGGAAACAATAATCAATAAATTATTCAAAATCTACTTGCTACAAAAAGTATGTATCATCCTAATTTGGTTTTTTGTTAAAATGCTTAATTATCAACATATTTAGACCACTGTTTGTTCATCTCGCTTTATTGAAATAGTTGTTTTTGTTTGTTTATATACAAAGGACATCTTATATGGGTAATTATATGCCCCACCTCAAACCAATCTATGTCATATCTAATACACAGCATCAGCGAATATCAACACTAGGAAAGAACATTGAACTGGCTTATATTTCATTTTATATTAATATTCCCAAAGAACTTTTAATGAGGTCTTAGTTCTTTTAATGAGGTCTTATGTCTGTGGTGTGTATGTGTTTTTATGTGTGTATGTGTATGCGTATAATTCCTAGTAATGCATAAAAGAACACTCAGAAATTCAGATAAATTCATGAACGGTAAACAATTTGTTTTATTAATAGATCCAATCACAAATGGAGATCTTATTAAACTAGCATTTAACTTGGTCAATAGAATAACTTTTACAATAAATTCATAGCAAATTTATGAATAAAATTAGGCTGGAGTCATACATAGGGTTAAAAACATCCCTCCTATATTGGTATAAACATTTTTTCCAATGTGTTTTAACTTGATTCTTTTGAGCCATTAAATTGAAGATGATCTTGCAATTCTGCTTTTTAAGAGAACAGAAAAAGTGTTGAATTCCAATTTCTCAATGGTGGCTTGCAAAAGCTCTTTTAAAAGTTAAATATCTAGTCAGTTGTTTGCGAATACTAAATTTACTATATTTGTCACTGGTTAGTTTAGTACCTCATTTTTTGAATTGAAATGGTTCTGAGTATATTCTTGTAGACAGCTCATCACATACAAGTCATGTCCTTTACATATATTACCTCATTTATTCCTCACAACAACCGTCATCACTGTGTGATTCTTGCAGTTCTGGAAGTTTAGAGTTTCTATATAATACACCAACACATCAGACAACTATATATTTTAGGAAAAGTTAAAATAGCTGTATTTTTCTTTGCTATAATTCAAATTTATATTTATACCTTTTTGGAACATCCAGCCAATACAAAAGTGACTATATGCTTGTCTACACAACAAAACAAATAAACAAACACTAAATAATAACTAAAAAAAAAAAAAAAAGAAAAACACTAAACAAGAAACTGTATTGTGCAGCAACCAAGTATCCACTTTTGTGGTACTAGTTATTCACTAACACTCAGTAAACTTTAGTTTCTGAGAATACATTGCATTTTTCTTTTCTGATTTATAGGTAATGATCAGATATTAAAAATGATTAAAGTTGATTAACTACACACAAGTCAGCACTTCCTTCTTTATTTTCTTTGACTTTTTCTTATTTTGCCAGTTTTGTTAGTGATTGAAGATATTTTTATTTTTACATGCCATATTGTTGATTTTATAAATTTTAATCTTTTGGATTTCAAAGATTATTACTGATTTCACCAAATATTTTGTTGTAAATTACTATATATAAAAAGAAGCCTAAATTGATTCAAAATGAACGCCATTATTGAGACCTTATGTGTTGAATTGGCTTAGTTGGTGTGAAAATTTTAGTTTTTCATGCTTCTTTTTAGAATACCATAACATGCTACCAAACTGTAAGCCTATATTATTGGATAAATATGAATATCTCCAACAAATTTTTTTTAAACAACTGATAATAGGAAAATAAAAGAGTTAAATGCAGAATTTCTTTAGAAATATTGGTTATAGATTTGTTCACAATGTATTTGTTTTTAAAATATTCAACATAACGGTTGAAGCACTTGACTGTGCTTTAAATCCAGCATCATGTGTGAAGAAAAGTATCATATGATTACACAGGCAGTATTAAACCTGAGCTGTTGGCCATAAATT